GGTTTCTCCGCGTAGTTTCACATTAGTCTTTACATTATCGCGGTTCCGTTTCTTTGGGCTTCGCTTTCATCTCTTCCCTGACAGTACCAGAGCTGGAGCCACATTGTGTACATAGTTGTCATTCCTTTGTCCCGAGGATTAATTAGCGGAATTTGCATGGGATGAAAACTTTTTTAACGGTACGTAGCCGTAATTGTTATTAAGGTGTTCAGAATATAGTTTTCTACGTTGTGGGAGCTTTTACTGCCTATTTAGTGTGACCGACGAGTTGAATGACATATGGGAAGATCGAACTTTAAGAACGGATACGAATGTCACCATTCTTAATGCAAACATATTCACAGTGCTCGCGTGCGGTCTCGAAATACCTGCCGTCCTGAGATGTGACAAAGCTTACCTAGACAGCTTGCAACAACACTATTTGTGCTGCATCCTCGAAGTGCGATGGCATCACTTGGTAACTCAGAGACCGGCGCCTGGCTTGGTCTCATAAAATGACCCTAAAGGAAACTGGAAACATATTCGAAATTTTTCCCGCTAGGAAACCATGCACTGATCTTGATTCGTTTGCGGACAATACGAAACACAGAAATACCTCGTTACCTGCTTGCGAAGAAGAATATTATCTTTCTCACAGCGGTGCACATATCCTAATGCCGATCTGAGACACTATTTCTAACGGTCAAACATCATAAATCTTGGTTGCTCTGTCATTTGAGCTCTGTCAGCCCCAGGTGATGATGACAAGGCAACAGCAAAAACAACCATGTTGTCGAACATCCTGATTAATTAACACTCATGGTCTTACTTTACGCTATTCTATGGATCTTCACACTTAGTCTGATGGAGTTTTTCATATAATATAACGTCCGTTAATCACGCAGCAGTTGTGTTTTATTTATTTGACTCAGTTGTTTTCGCAGATTGAACTGGAAACAGAAAACATTTGTAAATGAACTCATTAATTTTGTTCATTGTTTAGGTCTCGGTGTGCGGATTACGCTTTAATTCTGTCACTGAATGCAGTAGAGCCATTTAACTGTGGAAAATGTGGAGTTACTGGTCAAATGGAGGTAATCACGAATTATTTTTCTGTTAACGGATCTAAATATTACCAGACACTTAGAGTTATTGCGAATGCTTGAAGTCAGATTAGACTAATTATCTCATCTCTGTACTTATACTGAATTAGGAAGTGATGTCTTCCAGAAGGTTTTTTCCTCAAAGTGAAAAAGGGCTTTCGACATACATAAAAAACGGAAATTGTATACTGTCGTTTAGGCTTCAGAGGACAGAAATCATTGTCAGTTTAAACTCTTCTAAACCAGTGTTTTTCTGGTGATTGTCTAAGCCACCTAGAATCAAAACGCCAAAATCAAAACACGGCGGCATTGGGTCAGAAGCGATCATTTAAAAATTAATAATAGCTAAGCCTTGTGAATAGTGAATTTGTTGCGCCGTCAGCGATAGTTTGAACATAATCATGGGCGCCTGGTCGAAGTGATACCATTGAGCTAATCAGAAGAATGTCCTTCGACCACCTCGATTACGAGCTAGGTGCTGAATCCCTGGTGCTGCAGTTTGAGTTCACAGTTTCTCTTACAGTTATCGCTTTATACTCTGTCTTCTTAGAGCAATGGGGAGTTAAAGAGTTGTAAAGTAGCCACGTTGTTTCAATTTGAACAGGTACCTGCTTGCGAACCAGAAGTTGTCATTGGTTTCCACGGAGTACAGTCCATTTACCGATTGGTTAAACAGTGACAGCTACTTCCCAACTGTGGTTGATTAGGACCACCATTCAGGATTTTATGATAGTCCACAAGAGTCTTGTTGGCTGATCATTTTCGGTGTTTACTACACGGTGTTCTACCATAGCTGCTAAAGAGGAAAAAGCCCCATCGCCTCTGATCTTGTTGTTTTTAGGGAGTAACAGCTTAAGCATGAAATGTAAATTGATCTCCCTCGGATTGCAAATAGATGAAGCCAAATTTTGATCTCATCTGTTCACTCAACACCGCATATATGTGCATTTTGAGTGCGATCTCAGCCTGTTGTAAAATTTACATGTTCAAGAGCTTCGCTCGATCGGTTTCCTTGGTGACTCTACGAAGAAACAAAGGAAAGCTAAAGGTGAATTTGCACATGGAGCTTTGTGCTAGCTATCGCGTTGCATGCTCAAGGGTCGATCAGGCTAGCGACGGCCTTGTTTCCAGCGACAGCGTATTTACTACATATAATATTAACTTTTGGATGTTCCATTACTTGGTCGATTGTTCTTGATTTAGTTTAAGCTAATTTATGATTGATGGCCCAACCTAATAATCGATCAAATGGACAATTTTTCGCTGAACACTTGGTTAAAATGACGTGCATGTTGCGCTTTGCATTTCAGCTCCTTTCGCCACTCGTTCAGGTCGCTTCTTAAAAGCTTACAAATGGGTTAATACAAAAATATGCTTGGCAATATTTGAAAAGCATACATTATACGACCTTAATGTACTTAAAACGTGATTAGTTACTTTCAAACTGCGATGCACATTCATCTGCAGTGCAGACGGTAATCCTCCATGACTCTCCGTGAACTAGCTGAAGGAGTAGTTTGCTTTCTTGCATTCCATGTTGAATATATGACTTTCCACTTAGAATACGTTTTAACCTTTCGTTTCTAATCGTAAATCCTTTGAGACTGAACATTCCTTTGATACGCGGCTTTTCGTAGATTAAACGAATCAGGACGCGATTTATTACATTAAGTAAAATATGTGGCTTTCAGGGACTACAACGGAGAGCAGTCGATCCGTGATTTGCACACCTTATACTTTCTTCAAGATTTTTGCTCATATAGTCTTGTGAAGCATTTGTTAATGTATTACTCTTAATTCCTTTGAGAAAAGAATTTATGCAGGTACGCTCTTGTGTAGACAGTCGAGTAACTGATTTTCAGTTAATAATCCGCGAACACAAGGACAGTACGACTCCACAGATATGCCATTTTTTGTCATATCATTTGAATGCTTACAGCATAGTTTTTAATGCTTAATCTAATGATAAAATTAAATAAACTTCCATAGCCGGTAATATTTGGTTCTAATTGTTGCCTGCGCTGAGGTAAAGAGTCACTTATCACGCAACCGTTTCTTAGGCTTATGCGAGAGCGAAGCTCCCAGCGAACCCTGTAGACCAAAGTAGAACATAAACTGATACTGTGGCTGTACCAAGTTTTACAAAACGATATTGCGCTTTATGGTGCACGCGCTTTAAATTGTTGTAGCACGGCTTAGGCCACCTAATCATTTATCGTTTAAAGGATAGGTAGTGCAATATGTGCCATAGAGAACAAGTATTAACGATGCCTCGAAATCTTTCCTTCCAGGATCATGGAAACAGTATATTTCTTATTGACATATTCATTAAAAGTGGCAAAAATTCTGCCAGTTTTCGGCTATAGCTAAAACCCTAATTCGTCATTTTGGAAAGACGGAAGTTTGTAACAGTTGGAAAGGCGGTCTTCCTTTCACTTTCATGATCAGGCCATTTCTGACACCATTCTTGTTAAGAAGTTAACATCAAGGCGCTGATCTCCATTTCCATCTAATCAGCCAGGAGCGCCTTATTTTGAAGGCACAGTCTACAGCATCTATGCGCCAAACATAATGTGGTCTCTTATTTGCTTCCCATAGAGTGATTCTCATTTATCAACCTCGGAAGGAACCGTGATTGGCGCTGCGGGGGCCAGAACCCTTGACCTGTTGGTTTTGAGCCTGATGTTCTACCGATTGAGCAACCCATGTCTGAAGTAACGTGTAGTAAATTCCTTGCTCGGGGAATTCGTGGTTAAAACAAAGATTTCCTTCCGTGGGAATCGAACTAAGCTTCTTAGGAGTTCGAAACCGGCCTCTGAAGCACTGTGCCGGATATTTTGAGTTAGCCGTTCTCGGCGCCCGCATAAGCTGCAAAAAACATTCCACAACTGCAGCAACGACGTCTAGAGATAGATGCAATCAACCTGTCAGAAAAGATATAATGAAATGATTCTGAAATATGATAATTTTTGCCGTAGTCTTTCTGAGTCTTCTATGAAAAACTGTGACATGATTGGAAATGGACGCTTACAAAGTCATTGTGGGGCTTATTTGTTGCCATCTTGGAATTCTGTTTGTGCTAAAGTCGCAGCAAGTAGTATTTTTCTGATTTATAACGTTGTCTCGAGTCACTGCGTCCATCCGTCGAACCGGATAAATAGTCGACTTTTGGTAGGCATTGGTGTTCAACACAAAAATTTTGAGCACGCAGAATTTGCGCTGCACCAAAACACGGTTTAATAAATTAGCTTTGCATCCTACAAAACTAAATGACGTTAGATTAGAAGCTTGCAAATCAATCAACCTTTTTTGTTGATTTATTTATTTTGAATTCGTCTTTCTTTTTGTTGGATGCGTTGAAAACTAGTTGCAAACGGAACGTTCCAGTTCGTGTGGCAAATGAGTATCGGCTACTTCTGAGAGATGCAGTTTGAGAAATACTTATAGTTACTATAAATAATTTAATAGTATTTGTAACGCATGCATTTGCATTACTTATTAAAATTATATAATAAAAGTATTTTAGGACCTGACAACTGGGGAACCAATTTTCCTGCAGCTCTGGGAAAGAAGCAATCTCCCATCGATATTTGCACTGCAGAGACAGTCTTTGATGAGACGTTGCAAAAAAATCCTCTGACGTTTAACTACTTTCCTAGCGACTGTCTCACAATTCGAAATCTTGGAACGACATGGCAGATCAAACTTAAAAATGACGCTCAGTCAAGTATAGTTTCCATTCACTTCTCGATTTAACGACTGCCATATC